CATCAGCAATGCGCATCTCATGAAACTCCGGAGAGTCTCGAACCCGCGACCTCGCTGCCAGTAGTTTGAACACTTAACCATTCGGCCACGAGGGGCTGATCAGCAGTGTGGTTAACTCGCACTTAGACAGGATATAGCGCCGCTCATCCTTCAAAAAGCGGGATCCACATCACGCGGTCACACGTGTTGACTGGCTCCTCGAGCAACGACTTCTCAGAAGAAGTTTCACTCATCGGGTGAAGTTTATTCTTCCACTGAGCTACTTACAGACTGTCGGTAGTGTGAGGAGATTTGGGATTTTTGTGGAGATTTCGTCCTGTAAGTGAAGCCATTCTATGCTGATTATATATGCTGTTTATACGGCAGATCAACCACAGAAGCTGGAAATTAGAAAGCAGGGTAATAACATCAGGTCAAGAGAATCAATCGCGTCACTTTCATGTAGCTTAAACTGACCTGCTCTGATCATGAGAACTAAAACAGGGATAAGGTTCCGAATCATTCATTCTTAAAAGTATAAAACGAAGGGTTGAAAACCAGTGAGACCAAAAAGCAATCCTGCTGACACAACCATACTGTCCGAACTACACTTCCTCGGTGCGACTGGATATCACTCAAGAGCTGATCACTGATCAGCAATTTTTACCAAGTGAATACCCGAGGCAGAACAAGATAGTATCTTCTCGCTGGATCAGGCGGTGCTGTATATATCGAAACGACGGAAGGCAGGTCAGTTTAGCATTGGATGAATGAAATCTCTCATATGTACTCATAACAATGAGTCGACTTCCGTTTAAGCGGAGGGCGTGCAACTGTACTGAGCGAAGCGAAGATACTAAGCATGCACGATTGACGTCACTTTGGTATGACTGTGCCTTCACTGGTGTCAGCCTTATGGGAGAGATATTCTGGCTCAGATTCGCAACCTGGTCTGTTGAAGCCGATTTGTGGTAAGACCACACCACTTTCAGCATGGTATTTATCAGGAAGGTCAGATTCCTAAAAGTAACCTCAGAACACCCGGAACCTACTGCTCCACCAAAATCTAACCAGGAAAGCCGGCGAGCATCCAGACCGGTCAATCATTCAATCGATTCAGCAAAAGCTGATGAGTGTTCAGGCACACAACATAAGCACGACCGAATGTGGTCTGCGTTCAGGCAT